GACACGACTGAGCGACTGAACTGAACTGAATACTCCATTGTATATATGTACCACATCCTCTAATCCATTCCTCTGTTGATAGACATTTAGGTTGCTTTCATGTCCTGGCTATTGTAAATAGTGCTCCAATAAACATTGGCATATGTGTATCTTTTGGAGATATAGTTTTTTCCCAGTATATGTCCAAGAATGGGATTGCTGGGGTCACATGGTAGTTCTATTTTTATTTTTTTTTAAGGAGCCTCCACACTGTTCTCCACATTCCCACCAATAGTGTAGGAGGGTTCCCTTTTCTCCATACCCTCTCCAGCATTTATTGTTGTAGATTTTTTGATAAACACCATTGATCAGTGTGAGATGGTATCTCATTGTAGTTTTTTGTTATTTTTTTTTTTATTAGTTGGAGGCTAATTACTTTACAATATTGTAGTGGTTTTTGTCATACATTGACATGAATCAGCCATGGATATATTTGCATTTCTCTGATTATTAGTGATGTTGAGCATCTTTTCATGTGCCTCTTGGCCATCTGTACGTGTTCTTTGGAGAAATGCCTATGTAGGTCTTATGCCCATTTTTGATTGGGCTGTTTGTTTTTTCTTGATACTGAGCTGCACAAGCTGTTTATTTTGGAAATTAATCCCCTTGTTGGTTGCTTAGTTTGCAAATATTTTCTCCCATTCTGAGGGTTGTCTTTTCATCTTGTTTATGGTTTCCTTTGTCATGCAAAAGCTTTCAAGTTTAATTAGGTCCCATTTATTTATTTTTGTTTTTAAAAATAAAAAAATGTAATGGAGAGTGACTGCTAATGACTATGGGTTTCTTTCTGGGGTTATAAAAATGTTCTGGAATTAGATAGTCATGATATTATTAGATGTCATTAGATGATCATGATGTTATTAGATGTCATTAGATATTCACGATGTGAATATACTGAAATGCACTGAATTGTAAACCTTAAAATGGTAAATTTTATGATATGTGAATTATATGACCATAAAAATACAAAGCAATAAAGGTATGCATACTCCTTTGCTTAGTTGTATTCAACTCTTTGTGACCCCATGGACTATAGCCTACCAGACTCCTCTGTCCATGGCATTTTCTAAGAATACTGGAATGGGTTGCTATTTCCTCCTCCAGGGAATCTTCCCGACCCGGGAATTGAACCCATGTCTTCTGTGTCTCCTGTATTGCAGGTGGATTCTTTACCACTGAGCCATCAGGGAAGCCCCCGTATTAAAGTTATACACCTTTACAAAGAAAAAATGAACTGTTTCTAAAAGGATGTATTGAAAACTGGCAAAAGATGTAGTTTGGGGAAGTGGGGAGAAAATGATGGGAATGGAAGGGAGGCTTATTATTCACCACATACAGCAGTGTGTGCCTTTGAAATTCTGAAATACGCATTTGTATCACCTAATCAAAAACACCATACTTTATAGAAAGGGAATCTGTTAATTATTAAATATACTTTAACAATATAAAAGCAATTTAAGAAATTGTACCTATAAACTGTACAATTCCATTGTGATTTAACTTTGGTTTTATTGTCAAGTTACCAAATGAAGTATTTGGGAATATGAAGAAATGCATGTTAGAGTAATTTTTAAAGAAAACTGCAATTTTTAAGGAAAACTGTAAACCACTCAAGAAAGTAGGCCATGCTAATTAGAAGGAATTAATTGGATAATTGCATTTCACCTACTTAAAATCCCCCATCACCTGTAATTGAAGTAACTTTCCTCTCTCCTTCCAGTCCCTAAACCGTTATGTGGTATTGACAGTGTTGTGTAACAAGGTTCTGAATCCCTCATCAAAAGTGGCTTTATTTCAGTGGAGGATTCCATAACCCTGTATGAGCTGATAATAATGGAAACAACCTTGAGATTATACACAATGTGATTGAACCTGATTAACTAAAGAGAATAACTTTATACAAATATGATGATACACTATTATAACTGATTAAGGTGATATGAGGAGCCTTGAAGAGAAGGCCAAGAGGGGGGTAAGAATGCAGTTAAGAGATGTTCTGCGTGGCTTGGCAAGCAGTGGTACATGAACTTGATCATTTCTTATTCCCACACCCACTCCTTTTTTCCCGTGAGTGAAAATTGGTCCAAAGGATATTGACTGACTCTTGAATTTCTTAGAAAAATAAATCTTCAGAAAACTTATTTGACACAAAGAGATGTGTTTACCACACATGGAGACCAATGGAGAGGAAGAAACTTCTGTTCCCTAATTTAAGTATTAGCATGATGAATAGACTTATATATTCCTTTTTCTCCTACTGTTTTTGCAAGGAGCAATATGAACATGAAATAGAGAAACTCTCAAAGGATATCCACTTCACGTGTGTGTTTCAGATATATAACGAAAGATGATGTTGCTGCAGCCTTGATGGACAAGGTGAAGAATGACGGAGGCCACGTCCGACTGATCACAAAGGGGCCCAGGCCAGGGAACCCTTCTACAAAGTAAGAGGTTTTTTACTTGTCAGGCATAGTGTTACTAAGGCTCTTTCTTTAAATGAATGTGTTCATTTCTATAACAATAATTTACCTCTGTGTGACCACTTTACATGTTACAAAAAGCTTTTACAATGTAATAGCTCTTCTGTCCTAGCAATGCTGTGAGGCTCCTGATGCCATAAATTAGAGATTAAGAAGGTACCTGAGGCCAAGTGGGTTATGTGACCTGCCCCAGGCTACCAGATACTAGTATTGAGGTCCAATCTGGGCTCTGTCCCTCAGTCTTGAGTTCCTTCTATCATAAAAAGTTTTTCTCTTAACACTTCTAACAGCAAAGTAACTATTCTAATTCCCATGCAGGACTTTTCAACATTCTTGAATAATGTCCCTTTTCCTTTAGTTTAACAAAGTGAGCTTATGTCCTGCCATGTTTCATCTCTAATTTTAATTCTATCAACTCCAAGTTTACCTGTAAGGAGGCACGTATGTAGCAAGTCTCCCATTCTAATTCCTATCAGCACTGTTGGTTCCCTGGTTCTGCCACCGAATGGATGTGAACAGTCTGTCTCCTGAAGGCCAGCAATATTCAGATGTTCATGGAAGTCTTGGTAATGGCCTCCTGGTCCTAATGAAGTGTGTGACCCAACACACTGAGTGAGCAGGGTAGCCTGTCTTTTCCCAGACTGAAGAAGCATTTTCTAACTTTTTATTTTCCATCTTCTCCAGATGCCTCAGAGTCTGTGTAACTTGAAGACATCTAAGTTACAAAGAGAGGCAGCATATTTGTATTCAAATTAATTTTTCTGAACACACCATTCTTTCTTTTCCTTTGTGTGTAATAAAGTGCTGACTATAGCTATTAATATTTCATTTCCCCAGTGAATCACAGAATCTGCATGCCCTATGTTTGCTGTTTGTCAGCACATAAACTTTGAAGACCTTTAAATGAAATAACAATGATTTAAAATAGAGTAAGCCTTCATTAATTACCTATTCAATGTTTTGCCCCTTCTAGAGAATTTCTTGAAGATGGAGAAGGTGTCCCATTTCTAAATGCCTGTACAGCCCACAGTGATCTCACTCTGAAGGCTTCTACATCCAAAGGCTATTTGCAGGCTGTGGATAACGAAGGAAATCCACTTTGCCTTCGGTGTCAGCAGCCCACTTGCCAAACTAAGCAAGAGCGTAAAGCAAATGCTTGGGATTCACGGTTCTGTTCTCTGAAATGTCAGGAGGAGTTTTGGATTCGATCTAATAATAGTTACCTGCGAGCCAAACTATTTGAAATTGAACATGGTGTGTGTCAGCTGTGTAATCTGAATGCACAAGAACTCTTTTTACGTCTGAGAGATGCCCCTAAAAGTCAGAGGAAGAGTCTTCTGGATGCTACCTGGACCTCAAAGCTCCCATTGGAACAGGTAAATTTTAATCACTGACTGATAAAGACAGCATTGCACTGTGATGAGCATTGACTCACTTTCCTCTTAAAACCTTTTTAATAGGAGAACTTTCAGATACATTTACAAAAGCAGAGTAATGAACCCACACACCTGTCACCCAACTTTACCAACATTTTGCTATTCATTTTCATGTCTCCCTCACTTCGATTCTTTTTCTCTCCTGGAATTATTTTAAAGTAGATCTCAGACAGCTTTTCATTTCACCCTTAGATACTTTCATTATGTACCTTTCACAGATGAAGACTTTCTTTCTCCCTCGCCTTTGTCTTTCTCTTTTAAATATAAACCCATAGCCCAAGATCCGTGATCACACCCAACATAATTATTGGTTTCCCAGATGGTCTCAAAAATGTCTTGCAATTGCTTTGTTCAAATTAGGATCAAAATATGACCTGCACATTGCATTTGGTCATTATACCTCTTATGTTTCATTTAATCTGTAGTATAACCCCTTTCTTTTTTTTACTCCACTGATTGTTAAAGAAACCAGATCATTTGCCTGTGGGGATTTCCCACATTCTGGATTTGTGTGTGGTCCACATTCTGGACCTGTATCCTCATGATGTTGTTTGACATGTTTCTCTATCTCCCTGACTTATTAGATAATGGTTATAAGATCTAGAAGTTTAATTAGATTCTTTTTTCAACATTTTTTAATGTGACCATTTTTTAAAGTCTTTATTGAATTTGTTACAGTACTGTTTATGTTTTATGTTTCGGTTCTTTGGCCTCAAGGCACGTGGGTTCTTAGCTCCCCCACCAGGAATCGAACCTGTACCCCCTGCACTGGAAGGTGAAATCTTAACCACTGAACCACCAGGGAAGTCCCTAACTAGATTCTCATTAGATTATTTTGGGAAGAGATCGTAACAGATGGTGCATTGCACTGAGAGGCACTTAGGGTCTGGTCATTCCATTTTCCATGATGTTAATATTGAGTGACAAGGGGTAAACAGATAATCCCTAAAATGTAGTTCATTACAATGCAAAGGAAACTTATATTTGTTTATTCCACTGTAAAATGTAATTTATGATAAAATACTCTTCCCAACACAGTATTCTCAGTATCACTTTGACTCCCAAAACTCAGTTGGGTTTCCATTGTTGTGATCCAAGCACCTCTAAACTTCAAACTAGAGCAAAATGTATAAATTTGTAGTCTGCTTCGTTTTTAAAAATGACTCTACAAAAATATTGGATAAATTCCAGCAAAAACCTTACAGTTTTATTTACTTAGTATTGCTGAATTAACTAATAAGCATTTCTGCAAAGGTGAAGTAGCATGACTTTCAGAGGAAGGGAAATACACTATTCCCCTAACATTATCCAGAGCTCTTGAAAGATCTTCTAGTCTAGTTGGTGAGCCGTGTGTGACACCCATCCCAGAGACATCAGCCAGACTCCAGCTACTGTCTGCTGCCTCCATGTGGAGACTTCCAGAAGACACACACAAAAAATGACTCATGGACACCTGGAAGGCAGTCTGTCCAAGAATGCAGAAGTAATGTAGCATACATCTAGAAGAGGAGCGCTTAGAGAATAAGCAGTGCCCAGGGCACGGATGGGGTTGACCAGGGGGAGAGGGGGTGCTTCTTTCCAGAGGTGACTTTAGAACATAGAAAGCTGGCCCCGAGTGATTTAGAATTCTCGGGAAGAATAAAGAAGCACCTTCTGGATTACAAAATGTCACAGTGGAGACTGCTCAGCACAGAAGGTTCGGTCACAAACGAGACGACCAAAACGGGTGTTTCTCCCCTGAGAGTGTGCCACTCGCTTTATGCACAAGAAGCCATGTGGCATTGCCTCTGACAATGCCAACCCCAAACATAAAAATCATAGATATCTTCTAACCGAAGACGGCAAGTTCAGTATAGGAGAGAGAAAGTCAGCCCATCTACAGTGGAGTTCAGGCAGGCGGTTTACTGCTTCAGTTTGCTGCCTCCTAGGGCTGCGCTCTCGGGCCAGACACTGTTAAGGTCCCCATGCTGTCTGTGGGCCTGACAGCTTTCCTAAAGCACTTCAGAGATGTGTCACAGATTCCCATGGCCAGCAGCCATGAAGTTGATTATAGAGTCTTCCTTGTTCAAGACCAAGGAAACAAAAACCACTTTCACACTAATCTTTGTCCCATTTAAACCACTCTATTTACACTGCTATGCTGTGAACTGTGACCTCAGATCAAATGCTAAAATAATACCAATTAAATGTCAGTCATCACTGGTTAAATATAAAGTGTGTCTACAAGGACTGGCCTAGGTAGTGTCTACTTTAAATGAATATCTTTGTTTATTCTAAATATTCAAGTTACAGAGATTTGTTCTAGAAATTTGATTCCAGTCCATGTAACTTAGGAGGTTCTCAGGTAATCGCAAAAGTTCTAGATGATCACTATTAAACGTCACTGGTACAGGTACAAATGCATTTAGGTCAACAATTAAAGGCTGAGTTCAGTAATACTCAGAAGTTTTCCATTTCTAATCTTTTTATCAGTTTTGTTTTCGTAACTATATAAACTAGTTCAAAGGTGCATAAGCAACTGATTTTTCCCAGTCTGTCAGGAGGCATGGTGTTTTATCCTTGCTTGTAATTTTTTCCAAAATGGGTTTAGGTAAGGGGGGAAAAAACACCTTTTTCCGAGACACATTTTGTTATTACTTTCAAATTGCTAACCTAGAGGGTTTTTCCTGCTCACAGTAAAAGCTATAAAAAACCACCCTACGTACTTCGCCCTGTGATTTTGCTGCGTGCACATGACGGCACGATTCAGGGCCAGCAGTCCCCACAGTGTGTGTTGAAACTTGCTGACGCTGCGCTCCTGTTACAGCTCAACGAGATGATAAGCAGCCCAGGGGAAGGGCTCTTCTGGCAGGCAGACCACGTCCGGCCCGTGTCTGGAGGAGGAGGGCAGTGCTCCCTGGACAACCTGCAGACCCTCTGCACAGTCTGCCACAGAGAGGTCAGTGACGCCTGCAGACACGTCTGACTCCATCCTCAGACAGCTCTTTGGAAACGTGCATACACGTGTGGAGGGTTACACAGGTGGCTCTATCTCCTGGTCTGGGGTCTGAGACGTGTTTTATTCTTTTCATTACCTACCACTGGAGTTTTTTCTTGAGGTCTATGCAAGTTCTCAGTCACAGATGAAAAAGAAACTGCTTTCCTTTCCATTTATTCTAGGACCAGGAAATTTTCACCACTACCTAGAAGAAAATGAATACAACTTACGTATTGCACAGTTTTGAAAAGACCCAGACCCTCAAACTAGAAGTTCAGTGAATTGGAACAGTGGCATATATTTGCATCTGCAGCTAAATATGGCCTGAAATATCTGAGAACATGAATAAATTATCTCTAGGACCAACTCTGGAGAAGGCAATGGCACCCCACTCCAGTACTCTTGCCTGGAAAATCCCATGGACGGAGGAGCCTGGTAGGCTGCAGTCACGGGGTCTCGAAGAGTCGAACATGGCTGAGCGACTTCACTTTCACTTTTCACTTTCACACATTGGAGAAGGAAATGGCAACCCACTCCAGTGTTCTTACCTGGAGAAGCCCAGGGATGGGGTCCCACAGAGTAGGACATGACTGAAGTGACTTAGCAGTAGCAGTTAGCAGTAGCAGGACTAACTCAGTTCCACATAGAGGCATTACACTGTTGACCTAAATATGAAACCTGGTACATCTTGGAGCAATTACCTAGTGCTTAAATCTAAAGGAAAAGAATAACATAATATGGTCTGTCAACTAGGATGAATTTTTAACAAGTAGTTCAGCAAAAGGTCTCAGGATCTAGCTGTTAAGATATAATCTTAGAAAGCAGCATACATTTAATATGCAACTTTGTACCCAACTTTTTTTCCACTTATGGCAAAATTTAAGCATTTTCCCATGTTCCCGTGACAAGCATTCAGTGTTTATCATCTAAAATGGCTGCATATTATTCTATTGAACACATCTCTACTGTGGTTAATTACGGCACTCCCATACTGATGAACACTGAAGTTGTTTACATTCTTTGGTTCATATACACAATACTGCCAACCACGTTTTTTTGTATACAAACTATTTTTTACATTTCGAGGTTGTTCCTTAAGATAGATTCTCAGTTATAAAATCATTGAGTCAAGTTTTAAGATTTTGAGTCAAGTTTTGAGACAGCAGGAGATGAATTCCCTCCATGCTGTTTTCCAAAGGATTGTACTCAGGTATGCTCCTTCGATCCTGGCGGTGAAAAGTGCCTGTTTAACTGCACTGGTATTGCTGCTGTGGTGAAAGAATTATTTTGTTTACTTGTAATTTTTTCAAAATGGGTTAGGTAAGAGGGAAAAAAATCTTTTTCAGAAACATATTTTTTATTGCTTTCAAATTGCTAACCTAGAGGCTTTATTTTAAAGACCCTGATATTTGTAAAAATGCTAATCAACTGTATTTACATTTTGAGAATTTTTCAGATCCTTTGCCAGCATTCATATCATAGGAGCACTTTCTTAGCCTCTTTTTAATATTTCAGATTTCTCAATTTATTCACAAATTTTATTGTGTAAAAATTATGTAAATAAGTTTTACATAAATAGGATCATGTCATAAGAAGGGCTTTGTTTTGGTTTTAGTTTTAGCCTTTTTTTCCTCTCCTTACCCCTTCTACCTGGATAACTTCACACATACATGGACTTCAATTGGGCAAAAGGTTATCTGATTTCTTAACTGTGCAAACTGTTAGCACAGTCAAGATCTGTAAGAAAATTAAGATACAGCAAAAGAGAATGCTGTGCCTTCTTCTGTAATCACCGTTTCAGTGTCTCATGAAAAATGTTTATATTAGCAAAAGAATCCAATTCTGTTCTATCTCATTTTGTTTTTTTTCATTGGCTTGGCTGTTAGGTTGGGACAGGCTTTCAAGCCCAGAGAACAGGAGGTGGGCAGGCCCTGCACACACCTAGACCTCAGAGTTACTGGCTTAGTAACCCCACTAAGGGCAAAGCACTGGTACACGAGTGTGGTAATAATGTATATTTTTTCAGAATTAACAGTTTTTGAGTTGCTATAGCTGGTACTTTAATTCTAACATGTGTACACACGCATTACTTTTTTTAACTTTTAGAGAACTGCCCGTCAAGCCAAGGAAAGAAGCCAGGTGAGAAGACAATCTTTAGCATCAAAACATGGATCAGACATCACACGATTTTTGGTAAAGAAATGAAGCATAAACATTTTTAAATGAATGACATATGGCTTATATGTGGAGAAGTCACCAAATTTTTTTTGTGCTTGTCTAATATTTTAAAAGTGAAGATTTTCAAAACGCAAGTCAAGAATTCATCTTCCCTTTTCATGTTAAATGCTTTTAGCGTTAATACTTTTTGAAGTACTTAACAAACTGAAATACAATACTAAATATTTCTGTGATCTTCTTGATATCATGCAGACTCCATTATATTTCAGTAAGGGTTTGTTAAGCTTTCACTTTCCCCTGACTATACCTTAATCACTGTATTATGCATAGATTGCTTTTGAAAAATATACTCTCAATTACTTGAAAAATGCTTCTGGGTTAGTATTGGTCATGGACTGCTATGTGCCCAAATGCAAAGCCATTGTAAAGCCATAAGGGAAATTTTGGAGGCAAATCATCATTATTCAGGAATTCTAGACCAATCATGACCTCCTTGCTTAGTATGCAAGAGAACTTGTTCACGAAATGCCTCCAAAATGAACCTGGGGTGCATATTTTGAGTGTTGTCTTCGTTTTATTTCTTAGCCAGTTGTCTTTACTGAAAAGATGCTTTTGAAAATAACCTAATTGGACCCATGGTGTTTGTGGATAATTCAGGGATTCTGGCTGAAGTAACTGTTAAAACATGTTTTAAAAAACCAAAATGCCATTTAAACTTCATTTTTTAATTTGTCTTAATGCATAAAACTAGGCTTACTGTCAAAGCATTCTTTGTCTCAAGGTTATCATTTTCTGGTTTTAAAGTCCTATTTTATTAAAAGGGTATTCCTGAAATCTCTTTTAAAAGGGATGATGATGATAAAACACTTTTTTCTAAAGTATGATCAGATGGAGATAAATATTTAAAAAGTGCAAGGGTAACATTAAAATGTAATTGATAGACATGAAAGAGTGATGATGAAAGAAAACTAAGACATAATCTGGCAATACATCAGAATCATGAGAGAATCAGAATCAATACGTTAGAACTCACAAAGTCAAGGAAGAACTACATTCACAAAAGGCCTGTTTGTAAATACTGTTTGGATGTAACATTAGTTTGAGTACTCTTTAGTTTTAATTAGTAGCTGGTATTGCACAACATATATTTTTATAAATATTATACAATCATTAATCTTCAGAGTTTTTTTTAAGTTTACAGTATTTCATTGACATGATGTAACGGGTGTTTTCAGTCGTGTCTGACTTTCTGTGATCCTCTGGACTGCCAGGCTGCTCCATCCATGGAGTTTTCCAGGCGAGAGTACTGGACTGAGGTGCCATTCTATTTCTCTAGGACTTCTGACCCATGTCTCTTGCGCCTGCTGCATTGGCAGGCAGATTTTTTTACCTGCACCAGCTGGGAATCCCCTTGTATGAGATCAAATTTTACAGTTCATTTTTAAAATTAGTTGGGCTTTCTTTGGCCTTCTTTCTGCTTTGCTGGTCAGGCTCTTTGCAGTTTTCTGCCTCATTGCCAGGGAAACCAAGGATCCCTCACAGTTGAGAGCTGAGAAGCCAGCACGCTACTTTCCCTCCAGCATGAGATATTTGCAAGTGAGACTGGTCTAAGCAGGTCAGATTTGAGTGGAGCTTGCTCTTTAGATCAAACTAAAGTGGTAATTCCAGGGAGAAAATTCTCAGTGTGGGAACTATATGAGTGTTGGAGGTGAAATGACCCATGAAGATGGTTTCTCTCCTTGCCAGATTTCAAAATTCCAGGTAAAAATGCTATAAGAGCATCAAAAAAATCATAAATAGGGCTTCCCTAGTGGCTCAGAAGGTAAAGAATCTGCCTACAATGCAGGAGACCTGGGTTCAGTCCTTAGATTGGGGAGATCCCCTAGAGAAGGAGATGGCAACTCACTGCAGTATTCTTGCCTGAAGGACTCCATGGACAAAGGAGCCTGGTGGGCTGCAGTCCACAGGGTTGCAAAGAGTCGGCTATGACTGGGTGACTTTCACTCACGCACTCAGGATATATTTAAGCAAGGAGATGAAAGCTTTGTACACTGAAACTACAAGTCTTTGGTGAAAGAAACTGAAGAAGACACAAACAAATGGAAGAAATTCCATGTTCCTGGATCAGAAAAGTTAATATTGTTAAAATAGCCATACTACCTGAAGCAATCTATAGATTCAGTGCAGTCATCCCTATCAAAATTCCAGTGGCATTTTCAAAGAAATAAGGAAAAAAAAAAATCCTAAAACATGTATGGAACCAATAGCCAGAGCAATCTTGAGAAAGTAGAACAAACATACCATTTTTCTGCCCATTTTTTGATTGGGTTGTTTTTTCAATATCAAGCTACATGAGCTGTGTGTATATCGTGGAGATTAAGCCCTTGTCAGTTGCTTCATTTGCAAATATTTTTTTTTCCCATTCTGAGGGTTTTCTTTTCCTTTTTTAAGCAATGGCACCCCATTCCAGTACTCTTGCCTGGAAAATCCCATGGATGGAGGAGCCTGGTAGGCTGCGGTCCATGGGGTCACTAAGATTCAGGCACGACTGAGCAACTTCACTTTCACTTTTCTATGCTATGCAAAAGATTTTAGGTTTAATTAGGTCCTATTTTTAATTGTTATTACCCTAGGAGGTAGATCAAAAAAGATACTGCTGCAATTTATATCAAAAATTGCTCTATGTTTTCTCTAAGAATGTTATAGTATCTAGTCTTACATTTAGGTCTTTGGTCCATTTTGAGTTTTTTTTGTGTATGGTGTTACAGTGGGCTCAAATTTCACTCTTACATGTAGTTTTTCTAGCACCACTTAATGAAAAGCCTTTCTCCGATGTAAATTCTTCCCCTGCTTGTCACAGATTAATTGACCATAGGTAAGTGGGTCTATTTTTTTAATTTTATTGGACTGCAGTTGATTTACAATGTTGTTAGTCTCAGATGTACAACAAAGTGATTCAGTTATACATATACATATATATTTTCATTCTTTTTCAGATTATTATATAGGTTATCACATAATACTGAGTTCCCTGTGCTATATACACTAGGTCCTTGTTTGGTTGTCTATCTTATATATAGTAGTATGTTAATCTTATATATAGTGTATGTTAATCCCAAGCTCCTGATTTATCCCTGCTCCCACATTTTCCTTTTGGTAACCATAAATTTGTTTTTTATATCTGTAAGTCTGTTTCTCTACTTTGTAAATAAGTTCAGTTGTATCATTTTTTAAAATTAGATTCCACATAGAGTGATATCGTATAATATGTCTTTATCTTACTTCACTTGGTATGATCGTCTAAGTCCATCCATGTTGTTGCAAATGGCATTATTTTTCCATATTTATGGACGTATGGATATGAGGGGTGTAGCCGGTGGGGGGGATGGTGGGATGAGCTGGGATGGGATTGGCCTGTGTACACTGCTGTGTATGAAACACTCACTACCATACACAGCACAGGAAACTCCACTCGGTGCTCTGTGGTGACCTAAGTGGGAAGGAAATTAGAGGATGGGGTGATATGTGTGTATACATCTAGCTGGTTCACTTTGCTGACAGCAGAAACTAACATTTTAAAGCATCTATATGCCAATAAAAATTTTAAAAATAAAAAATTTTTAGAAAGATTTTGCATAGCAAAGGAAGCCATAAACAAAACCAAAAAAAAGACAACCTATAGGCTGGCAGAAAATATCTGCAAATGATGCAACCAGCAAGGGATTAATTTCCAAAATAGACAAACAGCTCATATATAATATGAAAAAAAAAAACCCAGTCAAAAAATGGGCAGAAGACCTAAATAGACATTTCTCCAAAGAAAACATACAGATGCCCAACAGGTACACAAAAAGGTAGATGCTCAAGATTGCTCATTATTAGAGAAATGGAAATCAAAACTACAAAGAGGTATCACCTCAGACTGGTCAGAATGACCATCACCAAAAAGTCTACAAATAATAGTAAATGCTGATGAGAGTGAGGAGAAAGAGAACCCTCCTACACTGTTAGCAGTAATGTAATTGGTACAACCCCTGTGAAAAACAGTATGAAGTCTCCTTAAACTAAAAATAGAGTTACTGTAATATCTAGACCCACTCCTGGACATACATCTGGAAAAGATAAACTCTAATTTGAAAAATATACATGTACCTCAGTGTTCACAGCAACACTATTTACAATATCCAAGACATGTAGGCAACCTAAATGTCCATTGACAGATGGATGGGTAAAGAAGATGTGGTAAACATATAAATACAAAGACTGTTACTAAGCCATAAAAAGGAATAAAGTAATTTTATCTGCAGCAACATGGATTGACATAGAGATTATCATGTTAAGTGAAGTAAGTTAGACAAAGACAAATATCATGATATCACTTATTTGTGGAAAATTAAAAAAAATAATACAAATGAACTTATTTACAAAACAGAAATAGGCTCACAGACACAGAAAACAAACTATAGTTACCACAGGGGACAGTGGGGAGTGGGAGGAGATAAATGAGGAGTCTGGGATTAACATATACACACTGCTATGTGTAAAATAGGTAAGCAACAAGGACCTACTGTATAGCACGGGAACTACGTTTAATGTCTCATAATAACATGTAATGGAAAAGAATCTGAAAAAGTATATATATATATCATATATTAAGAATATGGGCTTCCTTGGCAACTCAGCTGGTAAAGAATCCCCCTGCAATGCACAAGACCATGGTTTGATTCCTGGGTGGGACGATCCCCTAGAGGATGGCATGGTAACCCACCCCAGTATTCTTGCCTAGAGAACCCCCATAGACGGAGGAGCCTGGCGGCTGCAGTCCTTAAAATTGCAAAGTTGAATACAACTGAGCAACGAAGCACAGCACATATTAAGAATGTGTATGGATAACCGAAACATTTTCCTGAATCACTAACAACATTGAAAATTAACTATACTTCAATAAAATAATTTAAAAATAAAATACAATATTGTAAATAGATAGGCTCCCAACTCCCCAGCACCAAAATATATTAGCAAATAATAAGAGATATTAAGGGAGAAACAGACAACAATGCAGTAATTGTAGGGGACTTCAGTACCTCTCTATCACCAGTGGATAGACCATTCACACAGAAAATCAAAAGGAAATGTTGGAATTGAACTACATGTTAGAACAAAGTGACTTAACAGATATACAGAACATTCTATCCAACAGAAGCAGAATACACATTCTTCTCAAGTGCACGTGGAACATTATCTAGGATAGATCACAAGATAGATGACACACACAAAAATTTTAGCAAATTTACGACAGATCATCAAGCTGTTTTTTCTGAACACAATAAAATGAAACAAAATAAGAGAAAAGTGAGAATATCTATACATATGTGGAAACTAAAAACACACTTCTAAACAAACCCTGGGTCAAAGAAGAAACAAAACTGGAAATGAAAAATTATTTCAGTGCAAATGAAAATGCAACATACCAAATATTGTAGGATGCAGCAAAAGCAGTTCTCAGAGGAAAGCTTACAGCAAAAATTCATATAGTAAGAGATTAAAATAAATAAACAACCTGTTAGGTTGTTTATTTATTTTAATCTCTTACAAAAGAACAAATTAAGTCCAAAAATTAACAGAAGGAAGGAATTAATAAAAATCAGAAAAGATATTAATGAAATATAGATCAGAAAGGATCAACAAAAGTAACTGGTTTTTTAAAAAAATAAACAAAACTGACCATCCTTTAGCTAAGCTAACTAAGGAAAAAATAGGAAAGACTAAAATAAAATGAGACATGAATGACTTGTATCTTCAAGATGAATGGTTCCAGAAGGGGCTGGAGTCTGCACAAGTCACTGGGACTTGCCTTCCATTTCAGAAGTAGAAGACTTTCACACTCAGCATAGCAAGGAGCCCACCGCCTCTGAATAACAATGCTGGTAGCACTCAGCTTCCCTTTACAACCCTGAAGATCTTTCTCTGTTTGTGGGGATCGACCTGTGAACCCCAGCTGCTTCAGGAAAAGCTGTCTATAATGTTGCTCAATGAGCAAGACAGAACTGCATTTTTTTTTAGGTTTTTTTTTCAGGTTTGTTTTTTTTTTCCATTTATTTTTATTAGTTGGAGGCTAATTACTTTACAATATTGTAGTGGTTTTTGCCACACACTGACATGAGTCAGTACTGAGAGCTAGCAAGAATATGGAGTAAAAAGAAATCTCATTCAGAACGAGTGGGAGTATAGATTAGTTCAGCCACTTTGGAAAATATATCATCTAATAAAGCTTATGATGTGCATCCCTCACCAGGTACATACGCGCGAGAAACTAGGTGTGGATGAGGAGCGGTCCCCAGAATGTTCACAGAGCACCATTTATAGGAGCAAAACCTCTTGGACCACCCAAATATTTGTAACAGAAGACTGGATAAACTAGATATTCCACAACAAAATAGTACACAGCTGTGAAAATTAGTGAACTTTGGTTATGCACATCAACATGAGAGGGGTTCATAAATAGAGACTACAATCCAAGCAAGTCAGGAAGACTACACACAGTTTTTGCCATACAAAGATCAGACACACACAAGACATGATAAGGAGTACCCTGAGACTGTGTATAACACATTCCTATGTGGTGAAAGTGTAAAGAATAGCAAGGCATAGCCAGCAGGAAACTCAGAGAGAGTGGTTACACTTGGGGGGTGGAGGAAAGGGCATGCAACCAAAGAGGGGACACAGGAGCCTTTCAGTGTTCAAAAATGCTCTCCTCCTAAGCCAGGTTTCAGGTTACAGGTGATTATTAGCATTCTTTGTGCCTTTTAACATATACAAATTTGGAATCCAAAATAGTTCATAATAAAAATGGTACCTGGCTTAGATAAAAGAAATAATAGTAAATGTACTTTTTGTCGACTCTTCCTTTTTTTTTTTAAAGCGGAATAGTCCTATATAGTGCAAAGGTTCAATGGATTAAAGGAAGACACAAGTCAAACACGGTCCCTGCCCATCAAGATTCTGCAACCTAGCAGAATCAAAGAGCCTTTATATTTGTTGTATAACGTGTCCTGACAATCACAGCAGGCCTCCTCTCTACCAGCAGGAGGTAACTCATTGGATTAACTAGTACAAGGCTACGAAGAGCTGGGCAAATGTACTGGAGGTGGCCTGCAGGATGGGGTGTATAAGGAAGGGACCTGATCAGCTGGTGAATTGGATGAATAGGCAGAAGGGTGGGGTTCCCAAACAGCTTCACCTATCGCATAGCTTTGCCATAAAGCTGCCCTGAATGATAGGAATGCCGTGGCAGATCAAAGGCAGACACCATCTCATTTTGCCACCTGAATGACTGCTTACCCTGTTCTGAAATACTTGGCGGCACAGAAGTATCTCCAAGGAGCATCAGTGCGTTTACCTACCTGTAGGTGCTGGGACCTGCCCAGGGGCTCCTTCCGCTCTGCTGGGTGCCGCCTCCTCATCCTGACCCTGATCCTAGGCCTGTGTTCAGGGAACTTACATAGCATTTTCCTGGTGTTGCACGTGACACTTCTGTGGAAGAATGCCTAGTGAGTGGACGTTCCCCTGAGAAGCGTCCTGCCAAGAGGCCTCACTTGCTCCTCGACCCTGAGCTCTGCCAGCAGCCCCATGACAGGATCTCTAGAAGAGGCTGTTAGGGAAGATGTTCGCTGAAAGGGCTCATGACGTCCTTCCCAGGGTCCACCCCGGTCCTCACAGAAAATACTTGCCTTGGATGTTGTCCCTGAAGGATGGACGTATCCTGGGAGGAAGGCCGTCCCTCCTGAGCTCCAGGAGGCTTCAGCTCTTTTATATACATTGCTGTTTTAACCTAAGCTACAAACAGTAGAAGTCTCCATGAGGAACAAGCAAAAACACTACATTTTTTGATGGCACTTACCTTTGACACTCAGGGACTGGTAGCATCCACATACCTGGAGAGGGATAGTGGGCATATCTTCCCAGGACTATATCTCCAGGCTTGCCTCCTCGGATCCCCTCCACATGACCACTGAGGACGGTCATTATAAAACACCAGTGGGATCAGTTCCCTTGTTTTCCATTATTAATCACTTTAGGATACTCATACCAGCTGCCCCTTCAAAAAAACAATCCTAAGTGGGCTTCCTAGGCGGCTCAGCTGGTAGAGAATCCACCTGCAATGCAGGAGACCCTGGTTCGATTCCTGGGTCAAGAAGAGCCGCTGGAGAAGGGAAAGACTACCCACTCCAGTATTCTTGGGTTTCCTTTGTGGCTCAGCTGGGAAAGAATCTGCCTGCAATGCAGGAGACCTGGGTTCGATCCCTGGTTTGGGAATATCGCTTGAAGAAGGAAAAGGGTACCCTCTCCAGTATTCTGGCCTGGAGAATACCATGGACTGTATGGTCCATGGGGTCGCAAAGAGTCAGCTGTGATTGAGCAACTTTCACTTCACAGGTGGCTCTGGTAAAGAACCTGCCTGCAATGCAGGAGACACGGGAGTGGTGGGTTTCATCCCTGTGTTGGGAAGATCTCCTGGAGGAGGACATGGCAACCCACTCCAGTATTCTTGCCTGGGAAAATCCCAGGGACAGAGAGCCTGCTGGGCTGCAGTCCATGGGGTTGCATAGTCAGACACGACTTAGCAACTGAGCACACACGCACACACAGTAGCTTAACAAAAGAAGGCTATTCTTCTCTGCCAAAAGCCCAGGGTGAGTCAGGCAACCCTCCTCCACTCACCACTGGAATTGATCCTCTGGGCCATCCTGTGGGGAAAGGAAGGAGGCGGCCTGGGCCCTCACCTGCCTCCTCCTCATTCTCACTCACAAGCCATTGGCCTAAAAGCCTAATCGCAGGGCAAGTATTGGTGAGTTCTCACTCCCTACCTTGCTTATGAAATGTGTTGTAAACTTTTCTACCCAAGCAGAGTACCCCTCATGGTAAAATACCCCTCATGGGGCAAACTGGACAGTTCACTCCCAGAGAGTCTGAGGGGAAAGCCCAAAAGGGCCCCCAACTAGTGGGCACTCTCTTTAAAGTGTTAAAAACTTCATTCAGACTTGTACTCTGTTCCTTGCTCCATCCATGTTTGTTCCCCAGTGAAAATCTCCTCTGACTGTTCGGAAAATACCACCTGACCCGCTGACCGAAGAGAGGACTTTCCCACTGGGTATGGGATTGGGCACATGGGGTGGAGTCGTGGGCAGCCAACAGGACCCAGCAGGTGCCACATCCAGGCTATGTCCCTTCTGTCTGGAGTCAAGAACTGTTTTGAGAATCCAAACTCAAAAAAGTATGCAGTTACACACAGCAAGTTTTCTCTCTGCTCAATGATCTAGTCCAAGATAATTACTTGGACCAAACTCACCAATGAGGTGGCAGTGTTACATTTTCAAGTTCTGTCTGGAAGACATTCCTATAGGTGGGTATTACTACTAAGAGGTTAAATCTCCTCTGTCATGTGGCTGAATGACCTACTTACCATCTCTCATTATTGCAGGGAAATATTCATTACACGGGTTTTGGTGGTAAAGATGGATGACCTTTCTAAATATCTCATGTAAATAAACTAAGAGAATTTAAAAGTTACTGTTCAGAACCAAAACCTTTTTTTGTTGTTCCATACCTATAAAAAGGCGCATATAAGACATTACCATATAGCCTTTAGCCACAGGTCTCATCCTGTGTGAGAGGAGACACAGAGGGGAGGGTGCAGGCAGGTGGCAAAATGGCAGGCAGCTCTAAGAGCAGGCGTCCACATTTCTTAACCCTCTACAAATCCGTTTGAAATCCCACCCAATGATAAGATCCACAACTGTCCCCATCCACACTTAAGCCAAGGTAGATATTTAAGCCTCCACAACTTGGCATCAAACTGCCTCACAGACCAGTTTGGATCTTGCAGCCAGACCCCCAGAACTGGCCAGCAAGCTAAGTCAGCTTACTCGTCATTACCCCTCAATCACACAGTCGTGGTAGGGCTTCCCTGGGAGCTCAGCTGGTAAACAATCCGCCTGCAATGCAGGTGACCCTGGTTCGATTCCTGGGTTGGGAAGATCCCCTAGAGAAGGGATAGGCTACCCAATACAGTATTTTTGGGCTTCCCTGGTGCCTCAGATGGTAAAGAATCCACCTGCATTGTGGGAAACCTGGATTTGACTTGATCCCTGGGTTGGGAAGTTCTGGAGGAGGGCATAGCAGCCCACTCCAGTATTCTGGCCTGGAGAGTCTCCATGGACAGAGGAGCCTGGCAGGCTATAGTCCACAGGGTTGCAAAGAGTTGGACACAACTGAACACAGCACAGCATGCAGTCATACATCTTGTGTGACTGACGTTCAGTTCCCAGTGAGTATACTATTTTTTAAAACAGTCAAATGAACAGCAATTAACCCAACATCCTCGGTACCTGTAACACCCGTGTGCTGTCCCCCAGTTACACTGTCTTCCATTTCCCACAAGTTCTTTCCTTAGAGTTGACCCAACATAGTTTTTGTCATTTCTCCATCAGAACGTGGTGGGGAGGAAAAAAGCTAAGGTGGGCAGAGTGGCGATGGAGGATTCGTAGTTTTTATCTAACACAGATGTATTAAAAACTTGGCCTAGAAAACGAAAATGGCAAAATATTGCCAATGGGTGAATTTGGATAAAGGATGTTTTGGATTTCTTTGTACTATCCTTCCAACTCTCTAAGTTTCCAAACAAAAAGGTAAATAAAAACCTTCAGGAATAACTAAAGTCATAAACACGACCACACTGGAATTATGGCCACACCATCTTCTAAAGGACTTTTTCCTTTTCATGACCATCCTAAGGGAGCAGTGACCATGTCACATCCATGAACACTTCTCACCACAGCTGAAGGGACAACCCAAGGCTGGATAGTGACCCACAAATTATGCCCAGATGGGGCTGGGATGAAAAGATAAACTGGACTGATGGGGTGTTTCTCTGCAGAACTGGAAAAGTGAAAGATCAAGCTAGGTATGGACAGAAAGTGGTACTGAGAGGTGGTGATGTAGAGGGCAGAGAAGCTGCCATGCACCGATTCCCCGAGGGATCAAGCTGGACGAGTGGAAGAGGCCAGCTGGGACTAGGACCGAAAGACAGTTACTCGTAGCCAAGTCGCATTCATAGTCATGCACTAGGAGGAGAAGCTGTGAATTCCTGCTGCTAAGGTTCTCTAGAGCTGACCCAAATCCCAAAACCCAGGTTCTAGACTCCATGGTCAGGCCTGTGATGGCTCAATTTCATTCCATGGTCCTCACTTCTCTCTGGGAATCCTTTGTTTCTTACCACCAAAAGAACCCAACTGCATCCCACTAACCAATGCTTTTCCCCATGAAATTGAAAAATATATTATCCTTAATGATTTTGTAAATATAAGCCTGAAGTCATTTATACAGTTCAGCCATTAATGCTGTATTATATTGTGTTTTAACCATATCACTAAGCAACTAAAAATTTGAAAACCATTCTTTAAATCCTGTTGGTCTTAGTCAGCTTGTGCTGCTTTAACAAAATACCATAAACTGGGTGCCAATCATCAAAAAAAATCGATTTTTCATGGTTCTGGAGGCTGGAAATCTGAGATCACGGTGCCAGCACGGCCAGGCTCTTATGAAGACCCTCTTTTGGGATGCCACCTGCTGACTTCCTGCTGTGTCCTCATGTGGCAGGAGCAGTGAGAGAGCTCTCTGGGGTGTCTTTGTAAGAACACTAACCCCATTCACATTAAGGTTCCAGCTCATGACCTAATCACCTTCCAAAGGCCCTACCTCCTAATGCCATCACACTGTGGATTAGGATTTCAACAAAGGAATTCTAGGGGAACACAAACATCAGAAGCACAAGCTGGAATCAAGATTGCCAGGAGAAACATCAATAAACTCAGATATGCAGATGACACCACCCTTATGGCAGAAAGTGAAGAGGAACTAAAAAGTCTCTTGATGAAAGTGAAAGAGGAGAGTGAAAAAGTTGGCTTAAAGCTCAACATTCAGAAAACTAAGATCATGGCATCTGGTCCCATCACCTCATGGGAAATAGACGGGGAACCAGTGGAAACAGTGTCAGACTTTATTTTTTGAGCTCCAAAATCACTGCAGATGGTGATTGTAGCCATGAAATTAAAAGACACTTACTCCTCAGAAGGAAAGTTATGACCAACCTAGATAGCATATTAAAAAGCAGAGACATTACTTTGTCAACAAAGGTCCATCTGGTCAAGGCTATGGTTTTTCTAGTGGTCATGTACGGATGTGAGAGCTGGACTGTGAAGAAAGCTGAGCGCCAAAGAATTGATGCTTTTGAACTGCGGTGTTGGAGAAGACTCTTGAGAGTCCCCTGGACTGTAAGGAGATCCAACCAGTCCATCCTAAAGGAAATCAGTCCTGGGTGTTCATTGGAAGGACTGATGCTGAAGTTGAAACTCCAATACTTTGGCCACCTCATGCGAAGAGTTAACGCACTGGAAAAGACCCTGATGCTGGGCAAGATTGAAGGCAGGAGAAGGGGACGACAGAGGATGAGATGGCTGGATGGCATCACTGACTCGATGGACATGAGTTTGAGTAAACTCTAGGAGTTGGTGATGGACAGGGAGGCCTGGCATGCTGCAGTTCATGGGGCTGCAAAGAGTCGGACACGACTGAGCAACTGAACTGAACTGAAAAAACATCTAGTCACCCTTTTATTAAATCCCTCAGGCTTCCCTGGTGGTCCAGTGTTTAAGAAACTGCCCTGCAATGCAAGGGTTCAGTCCCTGGTTTGGGAAGATCCAACATGCCAAGAAGTGGCTAGTCCCTTGTGCCACAACTACTGAGCCTCATGCTGTAGAGCCTTCAAGCCCCAATTATTGACGCCCATGAGCTCTAGAGCCCATGCTTAGCAACAAGAGAAGCCACTGCAATAAGCCTACACACCATGAGAGTAGCCCCCACTAGCTATAACTAGAGAAAGCCTACACGCAGCAATGAAGACCCAGCACAGCCAAAAATAAATAAATAATCTTTTTAAAAAACCTCTTCTCTAGCTTTCTTTCTTTCCAGGGCCAGCATTTTCACTTGGAAACTATGTGAACACTGAGGGATAGGCTGATGCTGGCTGATCAACTAGAGTCACCCACTAGCCCTCTTGCTTCTAGGCATGACTCAAACCCATCCATCAGCCAAGTGACCACACGCCATGGCCACCACATGTGTACCTGAGACATGCA